TATTTTATTAAAATTATTTTGGCATTTATATTTTAAATTATATAGATAATTAATTTTTTATCTTACGGATCACTATCAGGATAATCTATTTTATTTAAATTAATAATTTTTTTTTAAAATAAAATATTTATTTTTAAATATTTATTTTTTCTCTATATATAAATATTATTCATTTTATAAATAAGTAAATTATTTAAAATTTTACATTTATATCTAAAACTTTATATTTGCATAATTAATTTTTTCCATGTATAATTAATTTACATAATCATTAATAAAATAATTATAAGTGACATTTACGTATATTATTCATATCATCCAAAATAAACTATATCAAATATACGAATACTAATGCGACAATACATATCTCTCACAAGTTTGAATTTAGAAATAAAAAATTTATTGAAGTAGTATGTGAGTTGGTGAATTGTTAGTACTTTCAAAAAAATCATGAAGTGGTTCCAATACATACTTGTTTTTTTTTTCTTTTTTCTATTTTGGATAAAAGATAAACATAGAAATAAAAACAATAATAATAATAATAATAATAATAAAAGAAAATGTTAGTAACAAAAAAAAATTAAGCTAAAAAAACAAAAATGAAAATAAAGAGAGAAAATTTGATTTTAGTCCAATAATAACTCAACTTACAAAGTTATTTTTTAAAAATTGAATTAAAATAAAAATCTAAACTAAAATTAATATCGAAAAAGAAATAAATCAAATTGGCTATAAACTTTCCTTCAAAATTAAAATGCATTGCAAACGATGTATTTTTTTAAAGATTTTTGAATGAAAATTGCAGATGAAATAACATGATGCTAACTATACATTTTTATGATTTTTGAGAATGTCATGATAACAAAAAAAACAAAAATATGTAAAACAATCGACTTTTCATAAATGAAAAATGCTTCAGATAGAAAAATCAAATGGATCAGGCTTACTTGGATGTATGAGTCTTCAAACCATGTGAAACCCTAATTTGCACAAACATTGCTTCTTTAACCCATGTCTTATTGAATGAATGAATGTTATGCATATGAATCTAGTGAAATCTATGCAGATGAAATAAAGAAAATCAGACAGTTAAAAGTAGAATTATGAGGGAAAATTTCAGGGTGCAACAGTTGTCCCTATTTGATCTTCTGAAACTTGAAGGTGAGATTGGCACTAGTCTTTTGAATATTCGAGGTAGAAGATGATTAAATACTAAAAGAACCAAAAAAAATTCACTCTGAAGAACAGGTGGATGACGTATTATTTTTCTGTACGGGCCTCCACTTAAACAAGTTTTGAAAGGTATAAGAATGATATTCCCGAATGATTTCCACAAATGAAAATGAAATTGAGATGGATGTCTGACCAATCGATCTTGTAAACTGAACTTTCAGAAGAAACAAGATAATACTCGATCGGAGAATAAGATTTCACATGCAACGGCAGAGAAAAGACATTGTGAGATTTAAGAATGAAAGACTCAACAGTAAGGTTACTGGGTAATGACGAAGTTTTGAAATAACTACTGGTGAGCAAATGTTGACCTTCAATATGGTTACTGGACTACGGATCAACCAGGTGATTGGAATGGCAAAAATTTCAGGTTATAGACGTTGGTAGGGTTACCGGGAGACATGTATTTGGAAAAAAGAAAATGGTAAGGTTACCAACATCAATAGGATTACCGAAAGGCTTCAATCAGGTGATTGGGCAATAAAGGATATCAAGGTTGATGACATTGGCAGGGTTACCGAAAAATAAACGAGGCAGTAAGGTTACTAACATCGCTGAGGTCACCGTGAGAATACAAGAGCGATCTGACAAACAATAAGGTTACTGACAACGGTAAGGTTACCGAAAGACATCAATCAGGTGATCGGCAAAACAAGGATAGCAAGGCTGCTAGCAACGACAAGGTTACCGGGAAGCGACAATCAGGTGATTGGAAAAGGTAAACATCTTCAAGTTATGAACCCCGATAGGGTTACCGGGTAACAGCAAGAACGATTTGGTAAACAATAAGGTTACTAACAACAGTAGAGTTACCAGAATGCTTCAATCACGTGATTGGGAAACAAAGAAGACAATACGGTTATTGGCAAAAATAAGGTTACTGAAAGATAACAAATTATATGGTTTAGAAAATGAAGAATAAGTAGGGTTACTGGCATTAGTAGGGTTACCAGAAAGTGACTGGAGATTTGTGGAGATTATATTCTCTTCGGAGATGTGGTATTGCCTTGGTTGGAGATTGTATCTGGTTTATGCTTTGTGTGCATGTTTTGAGTTTTTTAGTGTAATGCTCCACCTTTGTGGAAACGCTACGCGTTTTTGTGATGCAATGCTATGTAATAATTATTACTATATGCAATGTGCCTAAGCAAAGATATTTGTTGGGAACTCCAAGGATAGAGTCCTGACTTCTGCTGAGGAACACTAATAATCTGGACTAAAATCTCTCATATCTACTGAGGACGACGATCCTGACTTCTCGACATTCGCTTCGGAACCACTAGTTGTTTAGCATGCGCTTAACCTAACCTGGTGAACCCTTGAAGAGGATGGAATGCCCCGTCATACTTCCTTGTCCCAGCCTGTACGGCTTTTGAAGAAACTCGCCTCGAGATGAATTCCTGAGGTTTGTGCCCTCAAGATAAACTGCCTCGGATTGTAAACTTTGGAACATGACCCCTGACTAACCAATATTGAAGATGGTTTCAACCACGTTTGGGTGATTGCCACAAGTTATTCAGTACTTTGAGAGATTCTTCTAATCTTGTCATGATTGTCCCCGATTAACTTAACTCTGCTGAATGGAGTACTCAAATGCTTCTTTACATCTTAGGGTAATCAAACTTGGAGATACTTTTGCCCCCGCTTGACGGAGTTCTGAAGACAACTTGTCCCTCGGGATGATATCCAAAATATGCAGAGAAACCCCACTGTTAAGTTCATCACTCATATACTCTTCTTTTATTACATGTTCCATACCCATCTCTGGTGTGATCAATCTATGGTTGACAACCTCACTTGTGGATGAACCCTCTGTAACATGTGTATTTTTTGGTTGACCATCATCTAATCCCTCATAAGAACCTTCATCAAATCCATTCATCTTTTCTTCTTCACTATCTTCAAAATGTATACCCTTGAGAGATTCATCACTAGAATCACTAGATGTTTCAACATCTGGTTCACTTTCCCCCCTTGCTTGTCTCTCTTACTTTCTCCCTCAAAATTGGTTCCACTACATTTGGTTTAGACTCGGTGTAGATTTCAACCTCACATTTATAGTTCTGAGCATGTGCAACTAACTCATGTGTATCTCCATCATCCATAAAAGGCTTAAGATCGTCTTATAAACTACCACCATCATATTTCCACCATATTTTTACAGTCTTATATTCAAATTTAGGATCCACCCCCTTTATTAAGCCACACGCCTAAAAAAAGGACCAAAAATCAGGATATTGTCTAGTGAATGCATAGACTTTCCCATACCTTAACATAGAGTCTTTTACCAAAACACCTTTAGTGTAGAATACTACCTTAAATAAACACATACATTAAATTGGTTCAACATTGGTCAACTACATTCAAATTAAATCCCTAACACATTCTAAAATTGAAATTAAAGACCAGCATTGGACCCACAACCAACAAAATAAAAGCTTTTCTTTTTAGCAAAAACAATATATGAACCAACCTGATGTTCAATGTCGAAGGACCATAAATGACGGCTTTGACCACAAACACCTTTCAATAGCACCTTTCAATACACACAGTTTGGAACCACAAAAAAAATCAGCGATTTTTCCTTCTCTCAAATGTGAAATCCTTCGATTTGGTGTCACAAACTTGAAATGGAGTTTATGCAAACTGGAAATGGAGTTCTGAAACAATGCCAATGAAGAAATATGAACCTTTAGAACAGAGAGAGACATTAGAGTTCTTTGCTACAATGTAAATATATGTGTAATCTCTAAATAACCAAATTGAAAACATTGTGATTCCATGTCTTCTTATCATTTTATCAACAATTCTGTATAAAAATTACCATATGTGTAAGTTCACGCCAGTTTTAGTTAAATCAAATAGACGACAAAGATTAAAAATATGGACATAAAACTTTAAGAGAATTATTCTTTAAAGAATTTTTTTATAGAAACTAAATCAAATTATGAATTATTTATAAAGATCAAAACCATATTTAACCAATTTAAAAAGATAATTTAATCATTTATTAATAATAAAAAAATACTCCTTAAATAATGGTCAAATATCCCAAAATTTTGTCAACTATCCGTTGACGCTAGTTTCAGTTAAATCAGTTAAATAATTGTCAACGACACTAACCGTAGGTTGTCACCTATGCTCACAACAAAATCCAAACTGAACTCTCTCGGTATTTTAATTTTGTTTTATTTTGGGAATTTAGATTTTAGGCCCCCAAAATATAACACAAACAACAACAAAACAAAATACTACTTCTATTTCTATTGGAAATGCTTCTACGTAGTGTGTTTTCCACTTATGTGATTTTTCTTACCCAACGCAGTTGCTCCCCTAGTGACCCAACTGTTTATTTTGTACATAAAAACTCTTCTAAACTTGTTGCTTCATCCAAACATAACCTCCAAGGAACTTAACAGAAAAATGCTAATAATGATAGAATGTATAAGTTGAAGGAAAATGAGAGAAAGTGAGGATCTCTTAAACCACAATCCAAACTCATATTGATAAAATATGGAGAGAAATCAGATACAAGATCTTCCCTAAGCACTTGTAACAAACCAACAATCAAACTACCATCAACTACTTGTATATCTCAAGCCAAAACACCATTCAAGCCATATATCTTTCTGTTTTCAACATTTTAGTATAATCAATGTTGTATAAAAACCCATAATATTTACAAGTCCTTCCTTATTTTGGCATCCTAATAAAAATTGGACTGAACTGGATGCCTAACAAGATTGCTACCAAGTTGCGGCTAAGGTTTAAATTCCGATCATATTGAAAGTGAACTTTGAGAGTAGCTGTGGGACTGCAGATACAATTGGCCCGTATATCTACAAAATGCACAGGTAAAAGGCGTCAACACGGTAACTAACTTCAAAACTTCAGCATGTCTCTTAGAGTATGTTTGGATTGGTGTGATAAAGAGTGAAATATAATGAAATTACTGAAAATGAGGTGCTTATTTAGTTCATACTCCATACCTTGTGATTTTCTTGAATTTGGCACAATGGAACTGAAAGCAACTTCATGTTCTTTGGCACAGTGAATCTTTGAGTTTCCGGAAGCTTTACAAGGAAGAGTTTTGTACACTCCTATACAAAGAAGCGAGATTAAGAAACTATGACATCTCACATCAGAACTCAGAAATAAAAACTGCATTATTCAAAATGTACCTTTGGATGTTTGACATTAGGTGGTAAGAAAGGGTGCATCAATGTTTCAAAATCAGACCTCCACCATATTCCAAGGCACTCTCCTACCTAAATCAAGTAAACTACTAAATTTCATATGCTCTATTCAAGCTTGTCATTTAAAACACCTATATAAATTCAGAAAAATGTGAGTTTAATACCTCCCATTGTCCCTCATCTTCATCAAGAGAAAGCTTCTTTGCCAGCTTGCGCTTCAATCCATCAGTATCTACAAATCAATAAATTCAATCCTTTGTTAAAATGTGGAAAATCACACGTCCAGATGTATTAGAAACAACATCAAGCAACTTCGCTCATATTATTTTCAAAAAAACTAAAAATTTCATCATCTCGAAACTTCGCTCATATTTGAAACATCTCTCAATAAAAATTCACGCAGCAGTAACTGCAATACATCGCAGCCATTACCACATCCCACATCCGTGATTGCAATTTAAACACATACCTGATTCACCTGGCCTCAAACGGCCACCAGGAAGTTTATAGATGGAATTTTTTATTTGCAACACCAACAAATGCGGATGTTTGAACAACTCAACCTAAGACCAAAATCTGATCATAATCATAAAACTTTTTTATTTTCTATAAACCCTTATGCCTATTGTGGAGCACCTTGATATCGATCAAGTAGTAACAAAAGTGGGTAAAGGACTAACCATTAGAACAGCTTCAACATTAATTCGCATTCCACTTGCAGCATAGCTATTAAAACATGCACAATTAAAAATAAAATAAAACAAATGAGTTTACTGATACACGAAAATTGCAAAAGAAAAGTATAGTAAAAAGGAAAAAAAAATAAAAACTAACTTGGACTTGAATCTTTGAAGATGGTCGTGAAGAGAGTAATCTTTGGAAGGAATAGCATGTTTGGATCCAAAATAGTAAGAATTCAAAGGATATATGTTCACTTCCACCTTATCAGAATCATCCCTTCCTCCGTTTTCAACTTGGTCTGCACCCATCACTCCTCAACAAAACCAACTGCAATGAAATCAAAATATTGAAAGATTCTACTACTTTCAATGTTTTAAAGTATGTGCAGTGTGTAGTTTTTTTATTGGATAAGAGTGGAAGTGGAAGTGGAGAGGAGGTAGCGTGTCAAGGTTGTTGAAGAAAAGGGAAAATGCTATGCCAGGTGGCGGAGCGACAGGAACCTCGACGCACTCGAATGACATGTTTTTTTCGGATAATGTTGGTCGGTACTCAAATGAAAGAGACCCCAACTCCATCTATTTATTAATCTTAAAAGAGAAAATAAAAGATGCACCGATTTATTATCAGGTTTATTTTTTTCAAAATTCTGAATTTAGTTTATTCTTTTTGACTTACTTGATCGTAAGATATTAAGATTTAAAAAAAAAAAATATATATATTAAAAATATAAAATAATTTTAAATCGTCATTCAATTAATAAAAAAATTAAATAAAAAATTAAAAAATTATGTTTTATAATAATAATATTAAAATATTTAGGTTTTAAGCAAAATAAATTTATGCTCGCATATTCAAACCAATTGAATTGACACTTCTATTTAATATTTTAAAATGTAAGTCAGTCTAATTGAGCATTTCACTAGAATAAGTCAATCTACATATCTTATGTAGGACAAGTCAATTTAATTAATGTCTACACTTTAATCTTTTAAAAGGATGTTAATTTATTTGCGCATCTTTTTTTTTTTTGTATTCTTTTAATTTTTTAATTTTATTTTAATTAAAATATTTTATTTATTTAAAAAATTGATTAAATTTTAATATTATTTAATTTTAATTGAACTAAATGTAAAAATATTATTTATTTTAATGATAACAACCTATTAAATCATACAGGTAATTGGTTTCACACTTTCGATGTACTCTGTTCGTATATGTCTTTGTTGATTTACTTGAAGTGTTTGATACAAGGTCTTTGGAGCATCACAATCACTATTATGTTTAATATTTTTTTGTAATTTTACGTAGTCTTGTGTCTGCATTAACTTGTTGTCGTAATTTAGTTTGTTGTTCATGTTGTTGTAGTTTAATTGTGTTGTTTGGGTTGATGGGGTTATTGGTGGACGGTTTAGCTAATTGAATGACGATATTGGTGTGAATGCTTCATTGAGGAAAGGAAGAAATGGTTTGTGGTGATTGATATTGTTGGGTATTTAGTGTTGTGATTTTTGAGTGTTAGGGACGACAATCTCGATCAACTCCATACTTGAAGCAAAACAGTGCATCCATAAAATATATATGTATTTTTCTTTACATTTTTACCCAAAGAGTTATTAACATAGGACAAACAAGTAGATCATAACTATACATTCCTATTTTATTTATGTTTCTTAAAAAAAAGGTAAATACACAATGATCTTACCGGTTGATCAGAACCTGTAAGGTGGCTGGATGATGATCTTCTGTCGGGATGGAATATCGAGGAGAAAAAAAAGGGGTTGTACCTGCAAGGCACTCCGATGATCAAGTCTGGGAGCAAAGAGATACAAGCAAAGTATTAGGATTTTAGAAGCATGTGATGAACATTGAATACATGTCATTTACATGTGTAGAGGTTTATATGATGCCCCCGATGCTTGGCCATTAGTCCCTATTTTTTGGCATAGATATACGTGTCCGCAAAAATAGGTAACTTCCAGGACTTGGTCAAAACGGACAGTCGTGTCCGTAACTAGTTGCTACCTAAGTAGAAGGCGAGTTACAGGCAGGTGCATTTTGGATGTTTCCTGGTTGTCTGTTTGACTCGTATCGGGCAGACGTGGAGGAAGCTACTGCTGTAAAAGATGTGTCTTGGACGTTTCCTGGTTGTCTCCTCCATGCGTGTCAAGCAGACTTGGAGGTGGCCGATGTGGGCAGGCATAAGGATGCCAGGAATTAGTCATAACGGCAGAGATGCTGGTCGTTACAACGGGCAGAGAAGTTTTTATGGGAAAGCGTGATTCTTGTCATTCTTAGATCACTGTCCTCGTGTGGCTGGCAGGATGAGGACTAGCATGTTTGAGCAGGAAGTTGTGATCTCGTTGATCCTGGGGGGATAACCGACTACGAGTCCCCGACTGAAGGGTAGAAGGGAAATGTGTCCTTTGTCTGTTCCAATTGATTGGGCCAAAGTTGTTGGACCATCTTGGATGTAGAAGTGGATTGGACCATGCTTAGGCATTTGGCCAAACCATAACACATATTATGTACACTACACAACCAATACTATCGGAAAATAAAAACAAACTAATTAGTAGCATAATATAACATCTAGTTTTAATTATATTTTCTTGTTCGATAGAATTTTCGATTAATATTATACATCCGTAATGAGTTTTAAAGCGGCTAAGTAAAACACCTTGTCCCTTCGGAGTATCATCTAAAAAAATAGCATCTAAAATTTCCTCGCAATTGAATTGTCTAAGTTGGTCATTTGATTATCCGCCTTACCATCAAGGCCCAATAACATGTACATGTCATCTTGTGTTATGCCACATTCACTAGTTAAAAGAAAGAAAAAGTCGGTTTTGAATCTCCACCTTTCTGTTTGAGCAGGGATAAATCAATGGAGTAATACATGATTTTGATAATAAGAGCAAAACCGACGCGCTCTAAATAAGGTTGGATTTATTCTCCGTGTGCGGTATATTCATGGACACGAATACGAAATTTTGATGGGTCCTAAAAAACCCATAAATAATTTTTTCATAAAAATAAAGGGTTAGAAAAATTTAAATGCATTCATAACGAAATAAAATCTTTCGGAAAAATTAGTGTTGTCAATGGTTCCTCTATGCGTTTCCCCATGTTCAAGAGAGTCATTTTGCTAGTGAGAAAATATAAGAGTATGCGGTAAAAACTTACTAACAAATGAAATGAGTGATGGTGTGTTTATAATGAAGTGAATGTGGTAAATTTATGAAGTGTTTATGAGAAAATAAATTACATTGAATGCATGTTGTTTTGTGTTCGTGTGGGTTTAATGCATAAATAAGCTTTTGCATGCTTGCAAATGTGACACGCCAAGTCAAAGCTAGCACACATTTAGTTACAAGATTTGACTGTTGTTGACAAGCAATTTTTGACTTAAGGATTAGGCCACAAGTTAGATGGTATCCTTTGTCGAAGACGTTAGAACAAGATTTGGTTTTGCAATTATACCTCTGAGTTTTGATAACATAGTTCATTATTCAGTGAGCTTTTCAGAGAGACATCTTCAAAATATGTTTTGTTAGTTCAAACCAACATTTTAAAAATCGGACCGGAGATTAAATCGGTAAAACTTCTGATTTAAGATTCAATTGATTCAACTGGTTCAACCTACCGTCCAACTATTTATTAAATAAACTAATAATATGAAATTAATTTTCATAGATATGTCACACATAATCATATGTTCACAACTTAATAAAAATAATATTTCAAAAATCCATTAAAACTTAAAACAACAATATCAATAGTACATATAATAAAACAATATAATTATATACTTTATTTCAACCTTTATTTAAGAATAAATTAAACAAATTAAAAAATTACAATAAAATAAGTTAAACTAATTCAAACCAAAATTAAAATAATAGAACATAATAAAAAAAAATTCAAATAATTAAAAATATAAAAAATTATCAATACAATATACTTAATTAAAAAATTATTTTAAAAAATGGCCAATTTGTTGTATTTTTTTAAATCGGACGGTTTTATAAAATCGACTCCAGTTCTTTGGTTCGAATGGTTTTTAATGGTTCAATTCGATTTTTCCAGTTTTGCTCCGATTTTGACCCACTAGCAGTTTTGAAAGGTTAACCCAACCAAATTCATCTCTAATTCCCGGTCTAACCGGTTGAACCGGCCAGTTCAGTCTGTTTTTAAAACATTGGTTCAAACCATAAATAGGAATAAACAATGACAGAATGGAAATAAAAAACAAAATTTAACATCAAAATAAACATTATAGAGATAAACATTACATAAATTTAACATTACTTTTCATTACAAATGGGTGTTTAGGATGTTGCAACATCCTTATAATATCATCAATTGATCTTTGAATCGCCGCATATACTTCATTCAGATCCTTTGTTGAGTAACGGTAAAAGGTAATCCATATGATCTTCAAATCATTATCTATTTCCAGCTCAAGCATGGTGAACTGTATCTTTCCTCCATTTTTAATCGAGGAAGAACAGTACTCGAGCTTGACGACTCTCTGATTTTCTGGATATCACAGGAGAGTATTCAGCTTGGATTTCAGATTGACAAGAAGTATATCCTCGGAGACCCTAAGCTGAAGTGGATAATTAATGCCATTGAAATACACAAATGCACCTATGTAGAAAGAATGTTTTTGAGAAACCATATCGTGTTAAAGCAATACAAAACCTATCATAAGCAGTTTATATAAGGTGTCCCATTTCTGGGAATCATGTACATTTGTCAAACTGAGTCGGGCATCTGAGACAAGAAACTAGAGCATTGAGAATTGCATCATAATTTTATTTGTTCCCGTATAGCTTTGTGTATGATTACATATGCGTCTTTATCACTTGTATAAGATGACAATTGACAAATTATTAGTCGTCATCTCTCTTACCGAGCAAACCCAAAACAACTCGAAACAAAGATTTTTCCAATGAGTGCAAACTTCATCCATACGTTTTGGTTTTTTAAGCTTCATCTTCTTTGAAAAGCACATGGAATACCATAAGTATTCTAAGTGTACATCTATACTTTGATCTATCTGAACATGTTTTATCAGCTCGCTTGGCTTCGTGAAAAATAAAATCCAGTGTCGCCCAATATACGTTGCAAACCAACCGTGAATAAAGGATATTGTATGTTGAATAAATTATAAGCACAATATGAAATGTGTGGAATAAATTGATGAAATCGGAATGACTCCAAAATATATCTCGAACGATGACTTTATCCTTACAAACTATGTACCGAAATACATAGCTGTCATTTTCCAAAAGTTTTCACAATT